AGCTAATTTTTCTATTTTTAGCAGAGATGGAGTCTGGCTCTTGCTGAGGCTGGTCTCCAACTCTTGACCTTAAGCAATCCTCCCGCCTCAGCCTCCCAGAGTGCTAGGATTACAAGCATGAGCCACTGTGCCCGGCCAAGATTTTTATTCATCTAAATTCAGATTTTACTATGGGAAATAGTCTCTTCCTATGCTGATGAAAAAGCAAGTTTTGAGATTAAGTTGGTTCCTCTCACTCTTTATTTTACCTCTGAAAAACACCCCAGCTGAGGGGGGTGTGGATTGTACCTGGGTAATGGTGGTGGAAGCCCCACCACCTCTGGGATTAGGGGCACTGCTTCTAGAGTCTGTGAGGTCATGAGGATGTCACTGACGTTGTGCTCCTGTGGCTGGTTCTCCCCTCCAGGGAGTCTCTCCCCAGTCTCAGCTGGTTCTGGCCCAGCCTCAACCCCAGGCTCGGCTTCAGCCCCTCGCTCCAGGCCTGGCTGCGAGAGTGCAGAGCTGTACATGGAGTCCCCGAGGGGGCGGCTGGTATCAAAGCACTCAGGCAGGATGATGATGTAATCCTCTGAGGAAGCTGAGGACTGACTCTTAACTTCATCTTTGAGCTCATCCTCCTCCTCCTCCTCCTCTTCCTCCACGACAACTTCTTCCTCAGCGATATGGACAATCTCTTCCCTCTCATCTTCAGGTTGTCCCTCTTCAGACAAGGCAAATTTCACTTAAGGATGAAAGCAACCAATTTTAAGGTAGAAGTTAAAAGCAGCCCCCGGTGCTATTCTTACTTGGTAAATTTTTGGGTCATGAGCTAGAATTATGAAAGCCAGAGGAGAGGGAAGACCAGAGGGGAAGGGCTGCTGCTAGAACCATGTGGTATTCTAAGTTTGAAGACTATGCAAAACCAAATGGAATCAAAGCTCACAAAAACAAGGGGCAGAGATACCCAGGCTTCTGAGAAGCACCGTGAATCTCATAATGAGAAGGCCTGTCTCTTTTCCTCTTCATAATGACGGTTAATATACTGAGACAGGGTTTGAATCAAAACTGATAATACTAGCTAACAGCTATAAAAAGAGAAAAAGTTAGGTGGTGAGTACTACAGGACTGTATGCCTACTTCCCTCCTCTTCTTTACAAAAGTGATGCATAGTCAGGGGAGAAAACTGTCAAATTTTCGGATAAGGGGGGAAAAAAGGATATAAAAAAGGTACCCATAAATCCTATCAGAATAATGGCTGTGGACATTTTGGTGTCCTTCTAGACCTTTTTGGTATGCATTTGTACATAAGTATGGAAAAATATACAGATATACATGTATACTTCAAAAGTGAGACAAATCATATTTAATGGTATAGGCCAAATGTCATTATAATTAATGGAGATCTCCCATATTATTTTTATGTACTAGAATTTCAATTTTTGGACAGTTCTTGAAATACACAGTACTGATTCTACTTATCTGATACCTAGAAGTTTCTGTTATAAAGGTTATTTATTACGGCAGAATTTAACCTTGAGAATCTTAGTTTAGTACTCGTGCTTCTACCCATTATTTCTTGGACTATTGCCCTTGGAGAAAGACAACTCAGGTGCCAAAGGGGTCTCTGCTGAGGAGCTCTGTCAACTTACAGGAAGACTCCCTACTGCAGAATCCAGGCAGCACAACTGGCCGCTGTTCCTCTATGGAATACAGCTGTAATCGTGCCCCGGAAAAAGTGCAGAAATGAGTTA